CATCCATCCATCCATCCATCCATCCATCCATCCATCCATCCATCCATGTGTGTATGGTGAGAATACAAATGAGACTTACAGAAATGTACTGCTTCACATCGTTTACATATTCTGGCCCACCTGCGGTCCTTTTCTTAATTAACTCTGACAACTTCTCATAAGCCACAAACTCATTGAGGAATGTCTTTACGCCAATTAGCTCTGCCACAATGAAGCTGTCGTCCCAGGAAACACCCATCATGAAGGACAGAGGCATGAACACATAGGAACAGATGAGCTACAAGACAAAGAGTCAGAGTATAGTTGGTGATCATAATGAGGTATATATAGTAAAACCTTTTGTATTTTGGCCTCTCACCGCGAAGCTGAGCTGTGGACAGTCAAACATCCCACCCAGCCAGGAGAGGATGGTGTCGACAAAGGCCACCAGCGTCAAGAAAGCAATGATGTTGGCAATAATACTGGCCACGACACCCACAGCACGAGACGCTCCTCGGGATGCCGCTTCCAAAATATTGCTACTCTCTCTGAGGAGACAAGAGACGCTTTAATAACTGTTTAATCTGAACTGTTTAGCATTGTCTTCTTGAATTATCCAAATGATCAAAACATTGTCAACTGTGTAATGCCTTTAAATAGTCATAAAGCATTGTGTTCATTACCATAATTTCCCTGTCAAAATTCCAAGTTACTGTCACATTGATATTATTATGAATTGAAAATTTTTCATATTTTGTAGTGCATATATATATATATATATATTTTTTTTTTACATCTAATCTTTCCTACCCTTTGATCAATTGTAGATCATGATTAGAAATTGAAATGGACAGCTCTCTTTCGGGCCAGAACAACTTGGCAATGGCCAGGGAGGCTGGAGCAGACATTATTGTTGCTGTCAACAAGTGTGTTGCATCCACCTCAAATAAAGGAAACAGAAAAAAAAAAAAACATTCAGTTGACTATTATATAAAAGAAAACCCTTTCACAACATGTTTTCCTCACCCCAAGGGAGATAAAAGCTCCCAAAATGGTACCGGAGATGCTGGCAAACCCACCAGTCATCACAGCATGTATCTCTGAGATGGTGAGTTCACTGATGTATGGTTGAATCAGGAGAGCAGCGTCTGTCTGAAAGACACACAAACACGGACGCTCTGTTTGTTGAAATCAATAGATAATTACGAGGAAACGTTAGTTACTGTTGTTTGGAGTTACAGATTACATTTCCCAAGAATATGTTTCCAGCTGCTGCCATTGACTCAGCTGGAGATGTTCCCATGGTAACCTGCATTATGAATCCAATCTGGGGATTAAAAAAAAAAAAGAAAAAGACAATGCAATCTGATATGTAATCTGATTATGTAATCTGGTAATCAGATTACCACCTAAAATAAAAAAAGGATAATTAAACATTTAAGTAACGTCATAATCACGTCTGTTTAATTAAATAAAAAACAACACTTTAAAATAATAATAAATTAAAAAAATTACATAATAATGTACATAATACATTACATTACATACATTTTTATTACATAATAATGTAATTAAAAAAGTCTTGATTTTTTAAAACTAGAATATAAATCTGCTTGTTGATATAATTCATACATCATATTTCTCACCTTGCAAATGAGCCAGGGCATGAAGCCAATGCAGTAGAGAATGGAGATGAACGAGCTCAAAAATATCAATATGGGCATCACCTGGACAAAGTCCACCATCAGCACCACAAGCCCATTTGTTCGTTTTATTGCACAAGTATTTTGCAGATATTATGCATTAATAGTTATGGTTTGTGAGTTCACGGTGCATGCTGAAAGTAGAAACTGCTGCTTTAATGTTTGTCCAGTAACATTTCTTAAACCTCTGTTTGCCAGTGCACAATGCATCGTACCCTGAAAGCAAAGAAGTGGTCCATGTAACTTTCACCAAACACAAACTGAGATCCAGCATCTGTGAGTGACAGGAACTTCTGCACAGAGGAAATATGTAAGTGTTATCGTCACATGTGAAACATCTTCAGTTGTAAAAACTAATGCATATTCATAAATAATATAGCAAAAAGTAAGTACACTCTCTTTCTTTTCTAAGGCTTTATGCAGATCGTAGAATCAGAGTAGTTAGAATGTAAATGTATGAATAAAAATTTGCATGTTTGTCCACGACATTAACATAAAAAAAACCAAACAAAGCAGGTGCTTCCATTCGGCTGATCCTCGGTCATTAGATGTTCTAGAATTGCGCCGCTCAAGGTGGCTGCATGTTGGAGTAGCTCTGTTACTTTCATTCTGAGATATTACTTTTGATAACTTTAATTCCTCTTTTTTCTGGATATAAATCACTTTTTTTGGATGATTATTTCCTCTGGTGTCGGATGCTGTGCAGCTGGAAGGATTTTTACTGAAATATCTTTGCTTTTGGACATTTGTTATGATGCGTAACCATAACAACAAGGTTTTTTACAACCGGGAGCAGCTGATTAACATCTCCAAATCTCAAATAATATCTCAACTACAGCCTCAAATCCCAAATGAGTTGAAAAGGAGGCGTCGTGGATGCAGAGCAGGAGCAAAGAAGAGGGAGAAAGAGAGAAGAATGCAATTTAAACCATCTCTTCCATCGATCATGATGGGCAATGTGAGATCGCTGGGAAACAATTTGGATGAACTTCAAGCCCTAACAAGGACCCATCCAGAGTATCGGGAATGCAGTGTTATATGTTTCACTGAGACATGGCTGCAGGATCATATCCCCGACTCCAGCGTTTCATTGCCAGGCTTTCTGACCATACGAGCAGATAGAGATTTAAAGAGGAGTGGCAAAAGGAAAGGAGGTGGGTTGGCAGTGCTTGTGAACAACAGATGGTGTAATCCTGGACATGTTACTGTGAAGTGTCGTCTCTGCAGTCCAGATATTGAACTGTTAGCACTAAGTTGTCGTCCATATTATTTGCCAAGAGAGTTCACCAGTGTTATTTTGGCAACTGTTTACATTCAACCCAATGCTGTTGCTGAGACTGCGTGTGATGTCATCAGCTCCGAGGTTGCTAAGCTACAAACACAACACCCTAGTGCGTTTGTTGCAATATCTGGGGATTTTAATCATGCCTCTCTCTCTGCTACACTTCCGACATTCGAACAGTTTGTTAGCTGCTCTACCAGAGAAAACAAAACGCTGGACTTGTTTTATGCAAATGTCAAGGATTCATACATCGCTAAAGCAAGACCCCCTCTTGGCAAATCAGATCACAATCTTGTGTATCTCTGCTCAAAATATAAACCCCTTGTTCAGAGGCAACCTGCAATAAAGAGAACAGTGAGAAAATGGTCAATGGAAGCTGAAGAAGCCCTGCGGGGTTGTTTTGACGCTACAGACTGGGATGCACTGTGCCAGCCACATGGAGAGGACATCAATGCCATGACTGAGTGTGTGACCGACTATATAAACTTCTGTGTAAACAACACCATCCCCACCAGAACAGTGAGATGCTTCCCCAATAACAAACCCTGGATTACCACTGACCTGAAGGAACTGCTAAACCAGAAAAAAGAGCCTTCAGGGAGGGAGACAGGGAATTATTGAGGAGCACACAGAAGCAACTAAAAGTCAAGATAAGAAACAGCAAGAAGGTGTACAAGAAGAAGCTGGAGAGCAAACTCCAACAGAACAATATCAGAGAGGTGTGGTCAGGGATGAAACAGATCACAGGCTTCAAGCAGAAGGAGGATCAGAAGGATGGAAGCCTGGACAGAGCCAATTAACTGAACACATTCTTCAATAGGTTCAGTTCAGGAACAAGCTCAGCATCCTCCTCTCTTGCCCACAGCCAAACATACATACCACCCTCCATTGACCCAAGGCTGTCCTGTCACACCTCAAATATTGTATCTACCACCTCAGTCATGGACCCTTCTTCTACATATTGGTCTTCAACTAAATCAGAAGATGCTGATACCGCCTTTGCTTCCCCCCTCTGCGTCTCCAGAAGTCAGGTGAGGAAGCAGCTGGAGAGACTGAACTGGAATAAGGCTGCAGGTCCAGGTGGTGTCAGTCCCAGAGTCCTGAAGGTCTGTGCAGAGCAGCTCTGTGTGGTTCTGCAGCACCTCTTCAACCTTAGCCTGACCCAGGAGAAGGTTCCAGTGTTGTGGAAAACATCCTGTCTTGTTCCAGTGCCAAAGAAAACGCACCCATCAGTCCTCAATGACTATAGACCTGTTGCCCTGACATCCCATATCATGAAGGTCCTAGAGAGACTTCTGCTGACCCACCTGACTAAACAAACAAGCACATATCAGGACCCACTGCAGTTTGTTTATCAGCGTGGACTTGGAGTTGAAGATGCCATCATACACCTGCTTCAGCAGACTCACTGTCATCTAGAAAAGGCAGACAGCACTGTGAGAGTCATGTTATTTGATTTCTCCAGTGCATTTAACACAATCCAGCCTGATTTGCTTTGTCAGAAACTCCAGAAGACTCAGGTGGAGGCCTTAACAATCACCTGGATCAAAGACTACCTGACAAACAGACCACAGTTTGTGAGACTGAAGGGTTGTGTGTCTAATCAGGTGGTCAGTAGCTCAGGAGCACCACAGGGGACTGTACTCTCACCATTCCTTTTCACTCTGTACACCTCAGATTTCCAGTACAAAACAGACTCCTGTCATCTGCAGAAATATTCTGATGACTCTGCAGTGGTCGAGTGTATCAGAGATGGACAAGAAGCTGAGTACAGGGAACTGGTGGACCGCTTTGTGGCATGGTGTGGAAACAATTATCTCATCTTGAATGTGAACAAAACAAAGGAGATGATTGTAGATTTCAGGAGAATCAGGAACAGGTCCAACCCTATTTTCATCATGGGAGAAAAAGTGGAGGTGGTGGAGAAGTATAAATACCTTGGAGTTCACCTGGACAATAGACTGGACTGGAAATGCAACAGTGAAGCCATCTACAAGAAGGGACAGAGCAGACTGTACTTCTTGAGGAAGCTGAAGTCCTTCAACGTTTGCAGCAAGATGCTGCATATCTTCTATAAGTCTGTTGTAGAGAGTGCCATCTCTTCTGCCATCATCTGCTGGGGTAGCAGCACCAGAGCAAGTGACTTAAAAAAGATCAACAAGCTCATAAAGAAGGCTGGCTCAGTTCTGGGGACTCCTCTAGAACCTTTGGAGATGATTGTTCAAAGAAGAATTCTTCATAAAATGAAGAACATTATAGACAACCCTCAGCATCCTCTTCATCAGACTGTCATACAACAACAAAGTGTCTTCAGTCAGAGGCTTCTTCAAATCCGTTGTAGGACAGACCGCTACAAGAGATCCTTCCTGCCCACAGCCATCAGCATCTATAACAACTCTTTAATGAAACCAGGATGATGAGTTACAACAACATTTAATTTCCCTCTGGGAATAATAAAGTATTTTTGAATTGAATTTGAATTATGGCCACATTCATGAAAGCTGACATTGTAAAAGTTTATCGGAGCATTCAGGTGTGTGTTAACACAATGTTGTGGAGGAAAAGCACAAGCATTTATCTTAGAGAACCAACTGTTGCTGCCCATCAATCTCAGAAGTGCCATGACGCTATTTCTACACTATTTGGAGTCCATCATTCTACAGTCAGAAAGGTTTGTTCACAAAAGAAAAAGTCTTTCAGAAAAGATCATTCCAGCAAGTTCAGCTCAAAGTCAAACCGAGAATTGCTCCAAAAAGTGCAAAAAACCTCAAGAGCTAGGACTCAGATTTTACAAGTCTCAGTTATAAAGCTGAATGCAAAAACTGTTGATAAAAATAAAATATAAAATTTAAAAATAAGAGCTTGATAAGTGTTGCAAGACAAAAAGACCTGACAAAGCTTATTTTAAATAAAGAAACATGTCAACATGGTTCATGTTCACAAAACTTATTTTCCCCACATATCCCAAGATTTAGAACAATCTAATTTCGAGAGGTTTTGTTATTATAACATGATACATAAAACCTAAGAGAAGGTGTACTTACTTATTTTTATTTTGAAACTTTATATGTACCTCTACCAGATTTCCCAGCCATTTCACTACACTTAAACCAGACGTGGTCCTGAGGATCAGCACACCGAAGGTAAACTGTAATCCAATCCCACAAAGCAAAGTCTGCCAAGACCACTGCAACAAACATGTGACAGTTTGTGTCAATGTATTAATGCTCTTGGTGGAGAATATATGTGCATTTCTTACCCTGAATGGATGTTTGGAGAACAGCAACATGGAAAAAATGAGCAGCAGCAAACCAGAGAACGACACGAGCTGCCTGGTTCCCCGTTGAGCCGTGTCCAAAACAATCCAGCACACCACAGCTACGAGTACTAATAGGTACATAATCCTAAACACAAGAAAATATATATTTATATATGTACATACATGTATAGTGAGAGCTAACCAAAGAGATGAAAATGCCCAGATTGCCAAGATGATGTGAGAGGCACAGGTTGTGGAAGAAGTGGAAAAAGTGTGCACAACCAGAGAATTGAGCACCAATGGAGGGATGGTTGGACAGTACACCTTCCTCCCAAGGCTCAAGGCTGATTTGGACAAGTTTTCTGCTGGCTGGAATGACCATCCCATCAGAGTGGAGCCTTTCTCCAAACCAGCTGTGGGAACTTGGGAGGCTGCAACACTGCATCAGAGAGCCGGCGATGTCTGAGGAAAATGTGTCAGGAATCCAAATTGAGGTTATTGATTGGGAGAGCTCAGGACCATTTCATCATGCTAACACAGGTGTTATTGTGCCAGAAATGGAATGCCCACTGAATGCAGAAAATATTAAATCTCTACGCCATGCTATTAACTCCCTCGTGCCTTCATCCAGTTTTGGAAGAGACATTTATTTAGCCATATTCTCACACGCTCACAATTATTGACAGTCATCGCTTGGCGACGACATGTAAAGCTTTGATCAAAACTAATACAAAACTGAATTTTATTGTTTGTTATACAAACAAAAAATAAATCTGGTTTTATAAGTTTTCTCTTCTCAGCTTGTTGAGCATTTATTTTGCAAATACGCCATTAGTAATATATCGTATTTTCCAGCGTATAAGTCACATTTATTAGCATAGATTTGTCAGTCCTGGGACTTATACGCCGAAGCGACTTATATACGTTTTTTTTTGTCCATATTTATAACGCAATTTTTGACTGATGCTTTAAATTTCAAAGAACTGCAGCAGCGAGTCCTCCCATGCGAGCTCGCTTCACTCATCTGGTGCAAGTGGAGGAACGCTGGAAAGCTAGTGGCTCCGGCCGTGATGGATGGTGCCGCGCCTTCCATGTGAAATGAAACTGTTTTGACCATTAAATAAACACATAATATACACGACGGGTCAGCAGTGACGCAAAATAAGTACGACTTATATATATTTTTCCACTTCATGATGCTTTTTTGACTTATGCAACTTATACTCTGGAGTGACTTATACGCCGGAAAATACGGTACTCACTTTAACTTCATGTTTTATAATGTAGCTGTTTTTGTTTCCTTTTTATTTCATTTATTCTATTTACATTTCATTTTATATGATTGCCTATTGTTGTCTGTTCCTCATCTGTGTTCTTTGTCTAAAACAGGTCTCTCTTGTAAATGAGTGTTCATGACTCAATGAGACTAACCTGTATAAATAAAGCTGTTTGGGGGAAGAATCAGTTTTGTGTTGTGTGTTTCCTTGACTGATGAAGTCTTCCGGATGGAAGGTGAAACGATTCAGCAAAAAAAAGAAACTGTCCAGATGACCTGACTGAAAATTGTTGGATTGTATATATGGATTACTGAGCATGGACTTTTTTGTATAAATAAAGGTTGAATGAATAGGTTTTACATATATGGAACATAGAGGTTTCTTCCTGTTGAAAGGGGGTTGTTCCTCTCCAATGTTGCCCACTGGTCCTTTGGTGCTCAGGGAAGTGGATTTGACTAAAGTGAAGATTTAATTTGTCTGCTAGTTTCTTTTGATAGACAGCTTTTTAACAAATTGGCATTTATATTTAACTGAGTTCAATTAAATGTATTTTATTTTAATTAGATTGGATTATACTGAAGAGAGCTAGACTTGAATTGGGATAAAGTCATAGCTGGATTGCACTTGAATCATCTGCATACAACTGGATTTGAACTGGGCCTGTTTGCTTCTTAATAGGGTGCCCTAACATGATTTGTCTCAGTCTGAATGTGTGTAAACTGAACCAAATTGTATTTTGAATACAAAGTATTTCTTTTCAGCATACTTATAAATGATGGAACTGGTTGTGATAAATGAATAATGTAAGAATCCATAATGCATGACTTGTAAGAGAGATTTTAATGTGGCTGAGGTGGGTGGTGGACACTGAAGCAAGGACCCAAATCAAATTCTGCTTAAGGATGTCATAAAATTTTGGGCTATCTCTGACTGCAGCTCATGTCAACTTAACTTTTCCACCGCCTGCTTTGGTTTTTCTGCAGTTTCAAAACTCATGGTACATTCCCAAACAATAAATTATTAAAATTTTAAGAAATTGTTGTTGCTAGGAGACAGAAAAGCCTTCAGTCATCTTAACTATACTTGACATCGGCATCACATGTTGTCATTCAAGAATAGATCATCATGTTGGCTTCGATTATTGTGTGATGTTAGCAGCAAAAAGAATCAAAGTCTGAATAAAAGTTTTAAGAAAGAGAGTGTTTTTTCTCACCATCTGATCCAGGACCAGTTTCTGCTGAGAAGGTCTCTGATGGGAGAGAGAGACTCCCACAACCAGCCACCGTACCGTTTCATCATCCAATCCCAAGTCAGGAAGAAGATGGTTACCAAGGAGATAACCAGCAGCCCCACAGCACGGTGGAAGTTCAAAACACATGCCGCTATCACCATGGCAACAAAACCTGAAAGGAAATCATAAATATTCATTTTTATTTCATAGTGCACTGGTAACACTGTAATGTGGTTTTAATGAAGTAATGTTTTTATTTATTAGATGCTTTAAACCATTAAAATTAACTGGAAATCCACAAAAAGTTATTTCAAAATTTCAAATGAATACACATTGTGAAATGATAAACTTTACACTTCTTTAATACAAAAAAATTAAGTATTTTAGGATCAGTTTTATATCTTTGACTGCACAAGTTTCTTTAGCTCTTCGTGCCCTCCCACCCTGATAAAATGGTGCACTTCTCTTAAAAACAAAAACTCCACCCTAATCCTAACCAGATAAGTAGGCAACATTTTATTAGAAACATTAAAAGTACAACTGAGCATTGTTTTAGAACAAAAAACATGTTGGGGAAGTTTTCAAAGATTTTTGAGGCAGTGATCAAATACTACTCATCTTCTGTGTGTGTGTGTGTGTGTGTGGGGGGGGGGGATAACAACACAATTTGTTTTAATTTAACACAATGAAAGAAAGAAAAATCGACAGTTTTACTCATAAATCACGCTGCAAGATAAACTATCACTCAGCAGAAATGCAATAAAACATAAAATATTTTGCAGAAAGCACATTATTTGGGGTTTTAATACACTTTGCTCTAAAAGTCATTACAAGAGTATATTATTGTTTTCACTACACATTTATTAAATCTATTCAGTCTGAGCACTAGCATTTAAAAAGTTAAAGATAAATCAAAGCGAGTAGTAATGAGGGTGCATGTCTCCAATAAAATCATCACTTTAATTACAATCTGCACACCTTCAAGCTCCACATTCAGTGAATAAATTCCACTGCCACATTCCAGCATATGTAAACACTTATAGCTCTCAACAGAAACAAATGGACTATTTAGATTTTTAAGTTACACTTTAACTAAATTTAACACAGATGATCACCTGCTGCTAAAACCAGGTTTACAATTAGATGGATCTGGTCTTTGGACTCTGCCAAATGGCCCCGGAGTGCCTCAAGCTTCTTCTCCAGCAAGCTGAGCTCACAAGAAGGAGTGAGATAAAGAATATAAACGTTATCTCAAATAGGCAGTAAGAAGACTGAAGGTTTAAGCCGTGATAAGATAATGCATGTTTGGCAAATACAATAAAAAGAAAATCACAAACCTTTTGTGGTGAGGCTCTGTCTTTGTGTGCACATGGTCGTCTGGAGATTCAGAGGCACAGTTCATCTCAATGAATGTCTGACCCTGTTTTCATCACACACACACACACACACACACACACACACACACACACACACACGCACACACGCACACACGCACACACGCACACACACACAGGTTTGTCTGTCTACCTTTACATGGACTTTGCATTGACTTCCATTCATTTTTCACTCATTTCTATAGCCTAACCCTGACCCTTACCCTAAACCTAACCATTACCAGTACATACCTAACCCTAAAACTAACCCATCCTCAATTCACACATTTATTTTTGTTTTATTGTCTCTTTTAATTTTACAGTACTTTCATCTGTTGGTTTGGACTTTTAACATGTAAGAACAGGAACAAACTCTCAGGGATTATCTGGATGAGCAGCAACACTGCTGGCATAGCCCTACAGAACCTCACTGACCTACACAAGGTGAGGTCAGTGAACAAGGCCAGGCAGATTCTGGCAGATCCTGATCACCCACTCCATAATGAGTTCAGGTTGCTTCCATCTGATGCCCAGGATGAACAGACTGAAAAACTCATTAGTCCCTGTAGCGATCAGGCTTCTTAATGAACACTGATGACTTCTGTACTTTATTTTTAATGTCTCATAATGGATGTTTTTGTGTGTCTACTTGACTCAAACAAATTGCCCCTCGGGTATAGTAAAGATTCTTAAACTGAACTGAACACCTTAGTCCTAAACCTAATCCCTAACCCACCAACAGCACTTCCTCTTATGGGGACTGGGCTTTGGGCCCCATAAGGAGCAGTTGATCCTCACAATGTAGTATGTGTTGGAAAAATGGGTCTTACAAGGTAACAAGTACAAAGACACTCACACAGGGATGAAGATGTGGCCGGGCGTTATGCCAGATGCTCCAAAAGACGGAAACTCACATTCTTGTTATAAGGAGTCATCATCAAGTATCAGGTTCTACTCTGATGGGAGCTGGGGCCCCTCACCACACACACACGTGCGTAACCTTTAAATGTATTACTTGATAGAGAGGTTTTAGTGCTCTGCTTTGTGTGTTAGTTTGTGTTTTAGTGCTTTGCATGTGTAAAGATGTTTGCCGTACTAAAAGTCTGAAACAAACTTTTTATTGTTCAAATCTGACTTTTAAAACCACATGACGTATTATAATTATATTACAAAACAAGTTTGATAGGTGTCTTAGAGGACAAAGGTTTCCTTGGTGAGACAAAGTTTTGCTCGGCAGCATCAGTAGAAGTCAAGTGAATTATCACTTACAAACACAGTTCTTTATGGTTTTCTGGTTTATTTTACAGTTCAAGAGTTCTGACTTTGAAATATTAAAAGTTGTTTGCCCACCTCATGTTCAAAAGCCTCGTTGTCCGTTCCTTGTTTTTGACTTTGCCCATTTATTTCATTCAGCTGCATGATGCTTTGTTCATTCATGTCTGAACACTGACCAGACACAAGCTGGGAACCAGTTTAGAGCCCACCTGTCCCGTCTTTTGACCACTCCCCCATCACTCATTCACTGAGTTTGCATCTTCCTAATTCTTCTAACTTTGTTTCTTTTCTGTTTCTTTCCAACTATTTATTATGTTTGACTACGCGAGTCTAATTTGGCAAAACACCAGATCATTTCATTTCACTTTAGCAAATCCGTTTTAATAAAAAACGAGTCATATAGTTGTATTGTTATACATATATTATTATTACAATTATTCCAGAAAACTAATGCACCATGTTTGCATTGGGACAGTTGTAATTGCTGAATGCACAGGCATGTAAACTAGACCAGACTGGAAATATAGTTTAACCATCCCAGCTACCTGTAGAGAGCAGCAGAGTATAATCTTTCATCACCAAATCAGCTCTTGGTTGAGTATATGGTCAGTGTTTGTACATACAGAGGGCATGAGTCATTTAAAGCTGTGCTTAAATATTATTGTATACTAAATTACAGCAGAATGTTGTCCTTACCTTTACATACAGGTTAAAATCTGAGAATATTTTGTATTCTATTTATTCCAGTGGCTTGTAATCCATTTTCTTTTGAATATAATTCCCACAATCTTTCTTCATAAATTTTAGGTGACAGTTCCGATAGGAAAACTTCATTTGTTACATTTTTTCATTTTTTTTAAGCTAAAGATGCTTCTTCCTGCAGCCTGCCCACATGACAAAACCATTACTCAAGATGAAGCCAAGAAGTTCAATGAGACAAGATCAATCCGGGGGAAAACTCTGACAGGCTGAGGTTTGTTTATCCGCCGCTCATGTGTCAAAACCGCCCACAGTCAGCAACGATAGAGCAGCATTTAAAACAATGTGTGACCGTTTCTGCACACATTGCTTTCCACACAAAACACATCCCAACGGTGATCACCTGTGTCTACAGCATAAATGTTCTTTGAAAGATATTGAAATATTTAAAAGTTATGGTTTGAGCTTTAAAACAAGTTTATTATGCATAAAAACTTAATGAGATGCTAATTTAAGATAGAATCTGTGAAGTAAAAACAGATTCTTATGTAAAACACCAGTAGTTGCGATTTAACAATAAAGTGGCTATATGCAACAAGAAAAATAATTCTGCCATTATATATATATATATATATATATATATATATATATACATAATTATTATTGTTTACAGGTGCTGTGAAATAACTACAGACATCTTTGATGCAACAACTGATTTTTTTTATTTTGAAAAACTTGCACAGTGATGGCTGGACATGGGCACTAGTGACCCCCGTGACCCAAAAAGGAAGAAGTGGGTAAAGATGATGGATGGATGAAACATGTCATTAATAAATCAACGCGTTTGAGATTTAAAAGCTTGTTAAGGATACACAAACATATAACTCCAAAGCAAAAAAGACAAAGGATTTGGACACATCAACACAATCAATACTGATGTTAAAATAACTCCAAACGAACAAACATATTACAGCAAGACTCAGTTAATGCACTAAATCAAGTGAAGTACAAATCAACAATAAATTCTAATTCAGAAATACTTTATTAATCCCAAAGGGAAATTAATAGTTGTTGTAGCTCATCCTGGTTTCATTAGAGTTGTTATAGATGCTGATGGCTGTGGGCAGGAAGGATCTTTTGTAGCAGTCCGTCTTACAGCGGATACCAAGAAACTGGATGCAGATGTCGATCCGTCCACCCAGACCCAACGGGGCTCTTGGTCCTCTTGGGCAGCAGGACTGCCTGAATGCCGGGCCAAACTTCTCCCTGAGCAATGGTACCCCTGGTCACCATGGACTTAACCGGTGGACGATCTTGTTCCTTCCACCGTCACTGCTATCTCCAAGATCTCAGTCGGGCATTTAAGCACTACCTCCAGGTAGATGGGAATGCATCCACAGCACCTCCATTTCAACTCATTTGGAATTTGGGGCTGTAGTTGAGGTATTATTTGAGCTTTTTGTGATGTTAATCAACATCTCCCAGTTGCAGAAAACTACCTTGTTGTTATGATTACCCATTATAACAAATGTCCAAAAGTAAGGAGGTTTTCAGTAAAAATCCTTCCAGCTACACAGCATCCGATATCAAAACGAAATAATCATTTGAAAAAAGATTAACATCCAGAAAAAAAAGAGTAAAGTTTTCAAAAACAAATTCGCAGAATGAATGTTAGAGAGCGGCACAATTCAAAAAAGTAACAATACAATAAAGTAAGTCGAAACAGCATCTGCTCCTAAGACATCGATGGTAATACAAAATGTGTGATTGTGATGCAGCAACATATGATTTAGCAATAACTATTCAGGTGACATATGTACACAAACACAGGTGATCATGGAGCCACAGGGAGGGAGATTGTTGTGCAATAATGGACATGTAAAAAGATGTGATGCTGCAACACAGATGACGAGGATGGAACAAATCACAACTGAGATGGAGCAGCAGCTGCACAAATAAGTGGTTGAAAACATGGGAGCATCATACAAATGACAAGTGAACAAGATTCAATACCACATATTATTATGATTCATAAAGAATTGCCTTTTATTTTGCTGCAATACAAAGTTGAAACATGCTGGGTATGAAAAACACAGGTGATTTCTTTGCAACAAGACGAGGGCAACTGCAGAAATAATTATGATGCAAGAAAGAAAAGTGATATTGAGGCAACAAAACCAATGTGAAATGCAAAACTATAATTAAAGTTGATGCTGCCATAGAAAATAATGTGATTAAACAGATGACTGTGATGTAACAATAGAGAGGTAATAGTGTTGCAATGAAGGTGATTGTTATTTAAATGTATAGCTCAAGGTTGAGTCAGGTTTTCTGGACAGATTCTTCTGTTGAAACGTTTCATCTTTTATCCAAAAGACTTGTCAGTCTGTGAGGTCTCAGTCTCTGATGGAGGACATTTGCAAACTGATGTGCACCACAAACCCACCCAGACCAGTACTTGAGGTTTGACTTCTATCACCTGGAGCACACGTTAGGAGTCGTCAGGGCTCTGTACAAGAGAGCGGACAGAATCCCCACTAACTCAGTACCAAGGGAAAAGGAATGTGGATATCCTAACTGGGCCTTCCTGAAAGCAGCAAAATAATCCAAACAGGACTCCAGTCAGCCATCAGGTGAAAAGGAGGAACCCAGACCCAGACCAGTGGTCATGTTGCGGGAGTTTCAGAGAAACTGAGACGTTTATTTTCTAAACACAACGTCCCAGTGGCTTTTAAACCCCAAAATACATTACGGCAAAGACTGGTTCATCCCTTAGATCCAGTCCCCCGACACAAACAGAGTAATATACTGTATGCTGTTCAGTGCTAGGGCTGTCAAACATTGGGGAAACTAAAGCCACTGGTCAAAAGGATGGCCCAGCACAGAAGAGCAACATCATCAGGCCAGCACTCTGCGGTCTACACTCATCTCCAGGACAGCGGTCACTCTTTCAGGGATGAAGGTCCATCCAAGGTTCACATCCTGGATAGAGGAACGATGGTTTGAGAGAGGAATGAATGAAGCCATGTATTGAAAAGAGAACTCATCTGTCTTTGGGGCGGGAGTCTCTGTGTTCAACCGTCCCCCTCTTACAATGCTGTTAATTCGAGTATCACTCAACCCTCTGTGAATAGTAAGCGGCCATTAGAGCATTAACAGTCGAACTATATATATGTCAGTGATCCTCCTTTTGCATGTGAACAAATAGTTTTGGCTGTCATCAGCAAACTGGTTGATCCACTATGAGAAGGTGCTGTTTATAAGACTGAGTTTGTTGCAGCTCCTCACACTGACGAAGTCTTCAGGATTAAAAAAAAATCCCAAAAACCAAGCATTTCAACAACAACAACAAAAAAGAATCCATCCAGAGGACCTGAATCAACCTTGTTAGATTTGTCTACCTGGATTATAGAGCATGCATTAGGACACTTAAATGTAAAGGGTTTTGTATAAGTAAAATAGAAAGATAAAATGTCATTCATTTGAAACAAAACAAAACAAAACAAAACAAAAAAACAAAAACAAATGACAGTCTTGGAACCATAAATGCTTGTAATGAACAACGACAGATAACTGTGATGCAACACATTAAATTATGAAGAATGTGATTGTGATTAAACTTAATGGTGCTGCATTATCATAATATGTGATTATGATCAAACAGCACATAACTTGGCACATAATTTGATTTAACTGAAACAACAAAGGTGATTTGATAAATTTTGCCGTCATGTGATTGAATGTAACAACACAAATGGCTGTGATGCAGCAAAATACACGAGGACAGTTGATTTTACTGACAGTTGATTATTGCGGCATCGCGCGAGATGTGTCACACGTCACCTTTCACATCAGAGATTTACACAAAGATCATTTTATCCTGAGAAATAAAGGTGTTAGAGCTGTTCTGGTCAAACTTTGTAATAAATATAAGTGATCTTGTGCATTGCACCTTGCGAGATGTGTTAGCACGCTGAGTTCGTGTTGAGGATAACTCTCAGTTACTACCACAAAAAAAAAAAAAAAAAAAAAAAAAAATCAATGTTTGTAAAATCGAGCTATAGTCAGTTTTGGGTTTTTGGATTAGCTGTGGCAGCCATCTTGAACTGGGTTGTCTCCAAAGGTTGATGATCAATTAAAAGCTTTTACTAAATTCAGCCCAGTGGTCTATCAGATATTTTGCTAACAAAGAGACAGTGCTGATTTTAAAATAAGGTCACTTAGCTGTGGCTGTCATCTTGAATTAGGTTGGCTCTGTGTACCCCGCCCCTCACACAGTGATTGCTGGACAAGGGCACCGGAGACCCGCGTGACCCAAAATGGAAGAAGCGGGTAAAATATAATGGATGGATGGATTCTTTTATGAGATTTTAATGAAAGTCTTTTCTGTGCTTTATGAAATATTTTGCTAACGCTACAGACAAACGAACGCACGCATGCACAAAACCATTATTGCCACTTTGCCTTTGGTAGTGGGTGACAGATAGAATACAAACATGCCCAGCTGAAAAGTGATGCTTTCAAGATGATTAAACGCTTAAAGAGGTGATTGGGATTTGATCAATTTTGCTCTGCACTTCATGACTTTAGACATTTCTTGACGTCCAAAATCACAAAGAGGACGTCCATCCCAGACATATTGAATACTGACAAAAACAGAGGAGTCCAAGACGTACTCCTTGTTAACACCTTTAACATGTTGTACAGACAGTACAAGTCATTTAAAATGGTTAACTCAGCAAATAAATCAGCCATCTTGCATAATTTTCACATGAACATTACACTTCACAATCTCTGACTCACCATTAAAACCTGGAGCAGCTGATGCTCAGTGTGCCAACAACAGCGTTCAAGGGGGTGATTAGTTATTTAAAATGTCAGACCTTAAACACGTGCTACTCTGTCAGGTTTGAATGAACAACACAGGGTAATTCAAACATTCTGTTTGCGAGACAATGGCTTAATTAGTACACCCACAGTGTTCTGTGCTGACTGTGCACTCTGAGCAAGGCATCCATCCAGATTGGTTAAGGTACAGACAGAGCTCCGTAATTACGCTCTTTTATTCAGCAGCGCTGCCTGTGCGTCAGTGCAAACGTCATACTTGAGCTGCACATGCACGGAAGGGGACAGGGCATTGGAGGGGAGAGCTTTCCTCACATGCTGCGGTTTGTCGCTGCTCACAGGCAGATGTGCTGTCATCCTCTCAGCTGTAAGGTGACAGATGGAGAAGAAGACAGCAGCTCCGTCCTGCAGAGGCTGAGAGCACACTTAAAGGCAGATCCAGTCTGGTTAGAAAATACAACCAAGGAGAAGCTGATCCAGGCAACCTTCAACCTGAGATGACACATTGATTCAAGTCCAGTTTGGCAGGAAGCCCCTTATGATTATGAAATATAGCCTAATGATTTAAGAAGGTGATGCATGGTGGTGCACATGCCAGCTAAACACTAGTCTGCAGCTCTCAACTTCTCCTGTCTGCTTTAGATATTACATTTCCCTCTTGCTTGGGAACTGAAGCTTTAATTCCCAGGATCAGTGGTCATCAGTTAATTCAGAGGTCCACTTAAAGAAAGTTGTTCTACTAAAGATCAGAATGCACAGATTATAGTGACACCAATTCTTGTTTTCTTCACCCACCATGCTGTTCTTCAAACCTGCACCTCCCTATGGGCTGGAAGTTTCTCTATGAAGAAAGACACTGAGAAAATTCGAGCCAGACGTGGGAATTAGCGTAAATTCTAGACAAGCTGCGCCACCTAAAAGGACTTACCACGCTGTCTAAAATGAGTTACCGTAAATGTGACAATGATGCTCTGCCTAACATAAATTCCAGTAAGTACAGGTGTGAATGTAAAATTTAGTTCTACCAAAATTAAATGCAATTCTACAGAAATTTGGCAACTGATCTGAGCTTCCCTCACAAAAATCATCTAACCAGATGGTAGCAGCTAAGGTGTTGATGAGAATAGCTAACATTTAAAACTTGCAAATTACAAACCCAATATTTATCATCCACTGCCAGAAGGTGAAAGGCAAGTTTTGCATGTGTGCATGCGTTTGTGTGTCTGTTAGCAAAATATTTCATAAACCACTGGATGAATGAACTCACAGAAAGTACTCATTATTTATACATCTACAACTGCATACCTTAGAGTAAACCTGATTCAACATGGCTGCCACAGCCAACCGAACTTAGAAAACACAGAATTACTTTAACTCGGTCACTTTCACAAATATTGATTCTGAGCTCCGACAGATCTTTGTTTAAAATATCACCATTAACGGTTGGAGTCTGTCTGTTAGTAAAATATCTCATGCATCACTGGATGGACATCATTGGATCTCTCAGATAAGTTCAGAGTTAATAGTTGAAGATGGCCTCCACATCCAGCTAACACAATGGTTATACCTCAGTAGTAGCTGAGAGTCATCCCCAACACATGCACGGAGGGCCTCACAATGTGTCTTTGATCTTTGGGTGAATTTTCATGAAGCTCTCTGGAGGAACATCTAAACTCTGGGTGGAAAAGCGAAGGCTGATGTGCATTTCTTCAAACCTCACAGACTCACAGAGACAAAGCCCTGCCAGAGGAGTCAGACTTCAACCAGTGATGGTGCATAAAATCTAAACCATATGCTCGATGTGTCCTTGTGCGTTAACCCCGCTCCCCCCACTCCCCCCTCCATGTGCACCTGACCCCAGACCTTTACTGAAAGCAGATCACGGACCTTCTCCTTGTAACGGAGATCAATGATGGATCACTGTACACATGATCTGCCCTGATGCCTCCTCTGCCTCCTCCTTCATCCCAGCCTCGGTGCAGCAGCAGCAGCAGCAGATGATCCACACAGAGAACATTGTGCTGAGGAGGCTCAACTCACACACACACACACACACACACACACACACACACACACACACATTTGGACAGACAGAGACGGGGGGAGAGACACGTCCTCCTTAGCACACAGACACTTTGACTGACTGGTTGTCTGACGGGGGGATCTGGAGGACAAGTACAGGCGGCTCCTCTTCTCCTTTCTCCTCCTCACACCTTTTCTCTGCTCTGTCTGCATCAGGGACGGCTGATGGGTTTCTAGCCCCGCCGCGCCGCCTGCTTCCCCCTCAGCACCGGGATTTATTATTATTTATTTTTTTATATTTTGCCTTTTTCCCACCCCCTCTTCTGCTTTCACTGGCTTTAAAGCCGAACCGGGGCCGATTCCCCACCGATCTGGGCCGGGCCGTTCTGTTCTAGGTGAAGTATGAGCGCCTGGAGAGCCGGGAGCGCGGCTCTCTCCGCGCCGGGCCGGTGCTTCTGGTGGTGGGTCGTGGCGGTCGGGGTGACGGTGGGTTCGGGGGACCCGTGGATGTCCGCGGAGGCTTGTCCCTCGTCCTGCTCGTGCAGCAGCAGCAGGATCTCCTGCGTGGACCCGGAGCGGGGCATCAGCGCGTTCCCGGTCCTGCAGAGCGAGGCGGAGATGGAGAACATCACCGACATGTGAGTGGAAGGAGTCACATTCATGTCATCCATCTGCACATGGGAAACCGCATTAAGCATCTTGTTTTTGTTGTTAATCACGCATGAAACGTGGTGAATTTACCGCAGATTTATTTCTTATTGTCTCAGTCAGGTTCAGCATCATCCTGCATTACGTAACAGAGCGCATCAACTGCATCCAGCTCCATCTGATCAACTTTACTCTGAATAACAGAAATCCTTCAAGCGGGCGCGTGCACACGCACGTGCCACCATGTAATGGCTTATTGGTGCGCGTGTTTTTGCGCTGATCGCCCTGCACTTCCCAAGACATTTGTTTAAGCAAGCCCAAATAATTTCTGTCATCAGACCGAACATGTTGTTCGTTCAGGATGACACTCAGCATGCTCTACATTTGGATCTAAAATAAATAAATAAATAAATAAATAAATAAATAAATATCACGTTTATCTGACAGAAATTAGGAGGGGCTTAATCACTGCAACAAGTATTATTATGATTTTGGCCCAGATAAACGTCCTTGCTTGATGACATACAGTATTTTTGACAGCTATAAACAGCATAAATTTATCTCCAGCCTTGGGGGAGCCTTGAAACTGTTGAAATGAGCATGCACTCTGCTTAAAAAGCATTTTAGAAAGGCTAAAGTTCAGATCCAAACGACCTTGCCCAAAAAACAGTGAGCGCTTTAAGCTCCTCCGTCTTGCCTACATGCAGCTTTAATAATAATCTGCACAGAAAGCTGAGTAATTGGTGAATATAGCAGGTTATCAGTGGGAATGGGTGATTAAACCCAAATACAGCAGTGATGAGTAATTTCTGCCTTATAGGCTTTCCACATTAAGGGTGTGCTTATAGTCTAATAGCTTTAAATACCATCTGCTGTAACATTTTATGCTGTTTTAACAAAGTGACTAAATGCTTTTTGATAATATTAATAATAGTTCATTGTGTGTAGTTCAGGGACTCCTAAAATGTGTGATTAGTTGACTAAAGACTGAAAACGCCATTACATGGTTTTCTTCACAGCACTTGGATTATCACAGCATCTTAAACAAGAGCTGAAGAAAACAGACGCCAAGTGATGAGTTTGTTCAATTAGTCCAATTGATTTGTAAAACTGTTCATTTGAAAACGTTTCTCCGCACTAGTCTTAAAATCCTTCATGCTCAACGTAAAATATTTTACAGGAGTTGTCATTTTGTTTTACATTTTAATTGAGTATTTTCTAGCAGCATGCAATTTAAAACAGAATTTTTCTAGAATTTTGTTGTAGTTCATTAAAGACACATTTAATACATTTTTTTTGTGTGTTTTAGGTTTAAAATGACAAAAATATATCTGATGGGAGTTAATGAAAGTAAAACTGTTTACACTAGCTTATATAGTTTGAGGTGTAAATATCTTTAAGGGTTTTATGACACTTTTTCAGTTCGCCAATATCGCATCCTTCAGAGAATACTGGGATTTACCCATAAGCTCTGTGTAACCAGTGTTCACTCAGTAAATGTTCTCAGTTCTGTTTGGTTTCTCTTTAATTGATCCTATAAAAACTGTGATAACTGAGCAGAATATCACTTTTCAGAGCAGTTCTTTTCATTCACATGCTGCTGACAAATATCTCCCGCTGACCCTCAAACACAAACATGTCAAGTGCTCCGCTCGAATGCTGCTGGCTGAAAACAAATAAGAAAACAGTTAAAGGAGAGAAATGTTCCTGGTTTCTTATCTTGAAACAACGCTGCCTGTGTGCTATACATCAGCTGATTTCTGCTCATGTGGACTAAACGTTTTTCTGCGTCTTGTTGACAAATGTCCTCCATCCTCTCATTCTGACTCCCACATGCATCTCCTGACAGCTACATCGCCACCCAGAGCGGCTTCTCCTCCATTAACGATAAAGACCTGCACTACTACAAGAACCTCAGGAACCTGTGAGTCTTTGGCGACTTTACTAGAAAAATCATCCATTTGTTTTTAGCCTTTTTGTTACTCAGGCTAGCTTCTATATCTAATTTTATTTCTCAGTTTCTTCTACAACAAGGACTTTTGTGTACAAAAAGAAGCTTTGAAGATGTTTTTTAAGGCTAATTTTTGCCAATCGCATGCTTTTTAAGGGACTAATTGCAGCAGAATTTTAAATCATCCGAAGGTCAAATGGGAACCTTCGTTCTCTGATATACCATAGTACTTGTGCAGCTGTGGCTGAGTGGCAGTGTTGTAGTCAAGACCACCTAACCCAAGACCAAATAAAGACCAAAATCAGAGTGTACTGTACCAAGACCAAGACTTTTTGGGTCTGAGACCAAGTCGAGACCAAGACCTCAAGTCTTGGAGCTCACACATGCTCTGTTTTACTGTCACGACATAGTGACAGCTTTAACAAATACGTAAAAAACATATGTAACTTTTATAAAAAACATTTTTTACAAAAGTTACATACGGCAAGTTTAAGTTTGCGTTTGAATGAATGTATCAGCTTTTATAAATTTTCAAAGCTACATAAAGAAATTAGACATTCAGTGTTTTTTGCACAATAATTTTCATGTCATGTGACCCACTGACACAAAACTTATGTTAAAATACTCTACTAGACCTGACAGATGAGGCACCCTCATTTATTTCCCATTTTAAAGCATTTTCTAATTTTACATAATTTATTTGTTCCAAAAATCATAGTTTTCGCTCAATAACTAATTAGAAAATGCTTTAAAATGAGAAATAAATGATGGTGTCTTGTATGTCAGGTCTGTTAGATTAGTTTAGTTTTGTGTCAGTGGGTCAAATGATGTAAAACATATAAATTTTTGTTTCCGATGAGTTTTTGGTTCGATAATTTGTTGACGGTCCCTAAGCGAACCTTTACGTCTCGGACGAGGGGCAGACTGAGCTTCAGTTGACTGAAATCAGACTGCCTGCTTCGGATCGAATGAGAGTAACACACCGCTGAATCCACGAGCTCGAATATCCAACGTCTAATGTAAAACTAACTTCACCGCAGTAGAGAAACGAGCTCCAGCAGAACACGAACAGTTCAGAAACAATTTGGAATGAGAAAAAGAAAAAAAAAAAGTATTAACTGATTAAATCATGTTTTAGACGGGTTATTGTTAGAGAATCTATTCTGACCCAAATTGCAGCCGTGACTGGTTCTGAATGAGGCTTTACAGCACACAGCCGCTCCCCTCTCTTCCAGGTACAGAGTACCAGTGCAGAATCTTTTAGTGGTACACAGTACTGGACTGTACCGGCTTACTTTCACCCCTGGTTGTGACGTTACGTTCTGTATTGTTCTGTTGGTACAGAACCACGTTCGAGTGAAAGGGGGCGGGCATGACAGCTGTAACAAAAACATGTATTTAGCGATGAGTCACGTTATCGCTTGGATTTGAATCAGTACATTTTGCGTCCAAATAAAACAAAGATGTTGACAAATAAACTGGACAATATTCTGGTAGTTTTGTGATATTTCCACAGTTATGGTCTTGACTGGTCTTTAAATAAAAACTCTGAGTCCTCAATGTCCAAGACCGAGACAAGACCGAGACCAAATGCGGTCGAGTCCGAGACAAGACCAAGACCATCAAAAAGTGGTCTTGAGACCAGTCTCAAGACCAAGACTGGTAGATAGAAAGGTGCTATATAATTACAGTCCATTTACCATTTACTTCACACACTCTGTTGAAGCTTTTAGTTTAACCTTGTGACAACATTGAGCTTAATTCTGACTGATCAGGAGATTAACATCCGGATTAAATGGCACTAAGAATCAAAAACTTTACAAGGGCATTAAATACTTTGGATTCCTAAAATAAAAAAAAGCATGCCAAGTGTTTTCTTAAACAAAGTGTTCAAGTATGTTGGTTTTTATTTGCTCACTTTAACTGTGATATTTAGTCTGAACATTGTCCTAATAACATACATTACACACTTTTATACTTGTTGTGAAAAGCTTCATTTAGCCTAATAAAGTGGTAATTTATTGGCATTAAGATGTAAATATGACAAAAGATAGTTTGATCTGTGCTGGAACCAGTGGTGTAGTCTACGTGACATGCGGGTATATGAAATATACCCACTAGAAACGCTTGAGAATTTCAGTATACCCACTTAAAAGTGCCCATTGATACATGCCATATCATTAGGTATGTGCCATTGATATGTTAAACAACACGCCCATAACAATCTGTCTGAATGTTATTACATTTGCTTATCCAGTATAATAGTTGTTTGGTTCTTTCCACAGATTTCAGCTTCAAAGTATCAGAATTATCACTTTAATTGTAATAATGTCAAAAATATTTGGATAGGAGTAAAAAAAAAAAAAAATTAACCAGGCTGTGGCTTCAGCTAATAAAAACTTATATGGGTTTGTTAAACTCTAAGATTGTGAGGACAACATTTTAAAAACATCCATCCAATTAAAAGTCTTCTCTGTTGTTGTCAAATGTAAATCATCTCTTGATGATCAGTGTAAATGGGCCTCCTGTTCATCGTTTTGTAACAACCTGGTTAAGAAAGCACCGCTCTGTAACAGAAACAAGAAGACTAATGAAACTTAAGGAGCAAGAAAACAAACGCATTTGGAACATTTTATAGACATTCTGAGTTGTTTCAACTATTTATTGAACAATTAATATTTCTGTATTTACTACTTAATACTTGAACATGTTCTGCTTTGATCCTGTTTTATAAATTCTATAACATGTTTTTAACACAAAGCCAACTATTATACAAAGTTTCTTGTTCATTTATTCAACTATAAGCATCAAAGAAATTTGTAAATGTTCAATATGTTTAAAAATCAAAATATATTGATGATTACATTGTACTAACCAGTGTACTTTGGTTTCTAAGCACAGTACACCCACTACAAAATGTAGACTACACCACTGGCTGGAACATATTTTTAAAAGGAATCATGTTTTTAATAAACTTTTCACATACTTCACAGTAATTTGATGCCAGTACAGTAATTTGATGCTGATAATAAGTTCTTGTTTAAAGTGTGATGCTCATAAAGACTCTGATGATTCTGTTTTCTGTCAGAACGGTGACCAGCAGCCGGCTAACGTATGTTTCAAAGCTGGCCTTTCAGAGCAACCTCAAGCTGCAATATCTGTAAGTAGATTTGTTGTCTTTTGTAATTTTTTTAAATCAATGTCAAACTAAAATTTGCTTAAGTCCAGTTCAAACAGACTTGTTTGTCACAAAAATGCATAAAAGTGTGTTGATTTAATTCAATTATTGCAGGTCTGCTGCTGATATTAACAATGTGTAGTCTATTTTGTTATTTAATAATAATTTAGAAACGATGGAAAAAAAAAAGTCATCAGATCTTTGCACTTTGTTAAAGTTTGATACTAACTGTGCTTCAAAGTAAATCATCTTAGTGACGTTTTAAGAATATGCTGCAGGTGCAAATAGAAATGTGTTGTTGGCCCCATACTGTTGATGTGACAGAATCAAATTGTTATTCTCTGCTGCTCAATTTCATCTTCAGGAATTTGAAAGATAACAACCTGTCATCGCTGTCCTGGAGGATATTCAAACACCTCAACATCTCATATCTGTGAGTTGACACAAACCTTTTCAATCGCTTTTTAATGTCAACTGGCTTTAAGTCTCATTCATTCAGTGTAGATAAACAGAGGCCTGGAACAGCTTTAAAGCCACCTTTATGATTAAAGTTTTACTATCTGTTCAACGTTATAATGTCTTTCAGGAAAAACATTTAGATTCAGGAAGCAAAGTTTTAAACCAAGGCAGCTCAAATATGTGACGCTCACATCTGTCCATAAACACATGCCTCACAACCAGCCGTTTTCAACAGCTGGAAAGCAGCAACATTGCCAATTCAAGATACTGAAATGCTAAAATTGTGTTGAAAATTAATTTATATTTCAAGAGAACATTTAAGTGCATCTTACAGTGGCTCAAAGGCGTGGTTTTATACTTGGAGAAATGCTTTAGTTGGATTTTTCGAGTCAGATCAGAGGATTGATGCAGGAATTATCTGTCTGCATAGAGAATACTATTCAACATCACGTCTGGTCCTTTACAAATAACAAGAAAATCTGCTGATCCCAACAGAAAACTAAAACTAGAGTGTTATTTCTTAAAGTAATAACCTGCAATGTAAGGTAAGCAAATAGAAGCATGCTGTGTGCTCGGGAACGAGAAATATACAAAACTTCAGAGCAATTTTTTTGTGTCATTCCAAAATAGGTGCAACTCTCACAAATTAGGAGCAACAGAAACACAAGGATTGGTTTTAAATTGAGAGATTGCTGTTACATTTGCTCTACATCACGCTTATCAAGTTTTGGTTGGACATTTTAATCTTTTCAGAGTTGTCTGCCTCATATTTATGTAACTGTTTAATTCCAACAGTAGTAAATTAGTGCATTTTTTCCCCTTGGTCTTTTAGTGTTTAATCCATATTGCGTTTACAAACCAAACAATGGTCAAAATGTTTCTAAAATTACTACTTTATTCAGAAGTGCTTTGCAACATTTTTCTTTTGTAGTGAACTAAAATAATTTGGGCTCACAGTACCATATTTTTTGTACTATAAGGCACATTAATTGAAACTAAAACATTTTGACAGATTTTTGAGTGCTGTGTACCACATAAAATCGGTTCAAGGTCAATAAGCACAACTAGAATTAATACATAAGGCTCACTGTTGATTTTTGAGAAAATTAAAGGATTTAAGTGTGCCTTATAGACATAAAAATATGATAATCTAACTAAAATAACAGATCTGTACTTTGACTTTTTGTCCAAAGAGACATTTGTCATGGTCCATGACAGCAGACGGTGTTGTAGAAGTGTTTTTACTCTGGAGACAAAGTATCTCAGATACAGCTCAGAGAGCTCAGTAACTCATTGGGTAACAAGAGTAAACCTGGCTCCGAACAAAACGAGCCCTCGAGCACCACCTAAATACCTCCTTTATATCATCCCATTGTATATTCGTTATAATTATTGTAATAAGAAATCTGTGAGTAAACTATCAAATCATATATAATTTATATAAGAGAAAAGCACAACTGTGGCAAAATATTGTAAAATAATTGTCTTAAACCAGTTTAAATACTACAAAGCTAAGTCAGGTCCTCTGGACGGTTTCTTTTTGTTGAACCGTTTCATCTTTCATCCAAAAGACTTCATCAGCCCGAGGAGCCACAACAAACTCAGTCTTTTAAATAACACCGTCACATAGTGGGTCAACCAGTTTGATGGTGATAAGATGGTTTCTAACACCTTCACATAGTGGGTCAACCAGTTTGATGGTGATAAGATGTTTTCTAGAGTCCGCCCTCTCCATCGCCGAGTCGTTTGAGGCGGTCATAGCTCAAATCCCTCCTGAAACCTCCAGAAACCATCCAGAGGACAGGATTTAACTTTGTTGGATTTTCTACCTGGATCACAGAGCATGAATCAGCCAGTTTAAAAACACTTTTAAACAATGAATTTGTTCATTGATAACTTTATGGAGGCATAATTGATTTCTGATGTTTGACTTTTGATGTTTGATGTTTCTGATGATGACTTTTCTTTTTGGTGCTTGTTTACATTGAATGACCAAAGAATTAAAAGTCATTGACTAAAAATGTAAGGTAGAATTGTTACAATTTTGTATACCCATCTTACTTTCCAGCTTTTACACAAAAAATATTTAAAATTTTGGTTAATTTTTTTCTTCGTTAGCTTTCAGACCTTATAGTACTTTTAACTTTACAAGAAATGGTTGTTTAGCTTTTGTAAGCCAGGGGTCTGAAAGTAGCAACCTACAATCCAATTTATATTCTTATAGTTCCTGACTGAGCGTGTTCTGTGTGTGTGTGCATGTGCATGTGTGTGTATGTGTGTGTGTGTGTCCAGGATCTTGTCAGGGAACCCTCTGCACTGCTCCTGTGAAAACATGTGGATCAAGCTGTTGTTAGGAGAGGAAGCAGACGCACAGGAGCTGCGCTGTGTTGAGGATGGAGGAGCACGCAAGATGCTGTCCAAACTGAAACTGCCTAACTGTGGTGAGAACACACACACACGTGCAATCCCCCCACCCTCACCCCCACACACAGACAGAGCAACTGGAAAAACCATTCTCAGGATGCTCTCAGGATGTTCAGAGCGTGAAACGTTGAAGCATCTGTAAAAAATAAAGGAGCTACCCTACTGCCTTTCTTAAACAAATTGTTCTGTTCTTACTTTATTATTTTTTTTGCCCGTTTTAGACCTTGTTAAAATACAGTATGTGTTAGCACAAATGTGTTAATCCTTAAATGCAGGACTTGTAGGCAACCTGAGACTTGCAACCGTAAAACAAACGTTCTAAGTGTTTTGTCCGCTCCCAGGGGGTGTGGGGGAATGTGGAAGTAGAGAATGGATGTCTGCTGTTAACACCTAAGAGAATTACTGCACAATATAATACAATTCATGCAGCGACAAAAGCCACTGCAGCAATCAGTGGAACATATCTGCTGGTACGTGTTTGCAGTGGCTGTACACGCTTTATTCCAGTGACACACAACTGTGCTCAGCATGTGGAGTCGGAGTTGTCTTTACAACGAGAAAACGGCAATGTCTAACATATAAAAAGCAAACAAATGAAAACGCCTTCAGGCACACAGAGAGCTTTGCTTTTATAGCGAAGGTTTAAAAACTGGCATTGTAAAAGCACCCCACACAGACACACACACGTACATACATACATACATATATATATATATATATATATATATATATATATATATAAAGGGAGTTTTTTAAATGTAAGGCATAGATAAGATGTCAGGAAGAGGAAAAACTAACTCTTCAGCACAGATACATGTGTGTGCACAGCAATCTCTGATATTTGGTAAAGGGAACACACTGTACAAAACACAGTAAAGGCAGTATAATAGTAAACTCTGTTGTAATACGTGAAATTCAATGCATGAATGACTTTAATGAATCCCAAGGATGATTAAAATTATGAGTTAAAAAGACCATCTGGATTACGTCCTGGTGACCTGCTGGTCACGCAGCAGGTTCATTTCCTTTGTCTCTGAATCATCATGGAAATGGAAATGCCCTGCATCATGTTTCTTCATCCAGCTAAGACTTTGAGAAAGATTGGTATCAGTTCTGCAGAAACACAATACATGAGCCATGAAATGCTTTTTATACACGCTTAATCATGCGAATAGGTTCAAGTTAAGCAAATCACTTGAACAAGAAAATACTTAGAAAATCACAGCAGTGGGTGGATTTACTGTATATATTATTATCAAGCTTACCCTCAAGCTCTCTGACAGTCCAGGGGAGACTTCTGACCTCATGGCTTTTATCACCTACATATAGGAATATTTATCAAGCTTTAATGTAAAAATGTCAGCAGTTAATGGATACTTTATTCTTTTTATATAGATATGCAACATTAATTTTTCATGAATCTTCTATTTTAGACTCATTTCTGTTCATAAATAGGGTCAAATTACAGCTTGACCCATCTCTGAAAGTCGGCGTTTCTCTTCTCTGGATTTGGTGGTGTTTAACAGACTGTGTGCTTTTGGGCCAGAAACATGTCAATTTATATTTTGTTGCCGAAATTTGATTTAGGCACAACAAAAGGACCATGTTCTATAATTTGCAGTTAAAGCAGGAGCTCAGATGTTTGGGAATGGCTTTTTGTAGAAAAGTATGAACGATAAATATCTTGTTGCAGATAACTCTTTGAGCAGTCTCAGCGTGGAGGAAAAGTTTAGTTCTGACAAGCTAAAGGCTAGTCACAAATCAAAATGGATCGTTGCCATTTACAAACAACTCCAATCAGAAAAAAAGTTAAGTCATTTATTGATATTACTGACAATTTTGCATTTCAAGGTTAGTTACATGAAAATTTGTGGTTAATTTCAATCACAAATAGCGGTGGCAGTTATCTGTAGCACCAGTAGCAGTCAAATAACCTAAAGCTAAAAGAAGTAAAAAAAAGTAAAAAGTAGTAGTAGCAAAAAGCCAGCTAAACGTTTCAGACAACTAGCTAAAATGAGCAGAATATTTTCTAAAAGTAGCAAATGACTAGTTAATTGTATCAAAATTTAAAAGCAACAAGTATCAAAAGCTTAGCTAAAAGTATATAAAGTCTAGCTAAAAGCTAAAGGTAGCCGAGTGATAGATACAATTAGCATAAAAACATTAGAATAAAGCAAGTATGCTGAAGTACAATTCAAAAAGAAACAAAAGATATCTCACTATATTTCTAAATGTGAAAATATTTGTAAGTAGTTAAATATTTAGAAAAATAAAAAAAATAAAGACAAAATTGACAAAAACTAAAAGTCACAGCATCCATCTCTCAAATGAGCTAAATATCTGACGTATAAAGTTGAGCAGAAGTTGTTAGATTGCAAACATGTACGTTCATTCATTCAACCTTTATTTATACATGTTAGTCTCAATGAATCTTAAAAATTGCAGAAAATACAGAAAAATAGCAAAAAACAAACAAAAACAGAACAACAACTGTGTGAACATGGACTCAGCAGCCACACTGTTATGCGTCTTAAACAAAAATCTAGTCTGCATGAAACAATGATGAACAAAAACATCAAATCTGTACCAGATCTGCTGCTGACAGCACAAACTGTACAGAAATAACTCGGGGCAATGAAAGCACTCAGCACACAAACAATACGTTCGTTTACTTTACAGGAAGCTAACAATGTCATTGATAACTCCTATTGATCTGTCCCCTCTGCCTCCCATCCATTACCAGTGGTTATTTTTAGCTTTAGCACAGTCACAGCAGGACCCCTAGAGAGATGGGCTGGGGACCCCGGGAAGAGTGACATATGAGCAGGAGAACATGGTGGGGACAGGGTGCCAAATGATGCCCCAGGGCTGACTGTAATCCACCAAAAACCTCCCAGTCTGGCCAAACTGCTGCTTGTCATGCCTCGTCTGTATTTCTCATTTTCCATCTGTCTGTCTCATTCATGTGTGTTCTTGTGTCCGTGAGCCTGAAAATCTCTGAGTGACATTGTGAGAGAGGCACAAAGGAGAGGAAATGCCCATCGAAGCCCCGGGGCTGAGCTGACACTGATCTCTGTCTGTTAGACCGCATACTGGAGAAGCTCCACCTTCAAAAGGCTGCTCCTACTTCACTGACCAATACAAAACTACACCGAGCGCTGCGCTGAGTTTAGTGCAGGATATAAATACTGTCACAGAAAACAAGTTGGAGTTCAAACAGCTGCAGGTGTTAAAGTTGAACACTGACAGGAACAATAAAAGAGACCCGTAAAACTTCAAACACTTCATTTCTACACGATTTACTCCTGCGTTTCTTCCTTAAAGAGAAAGGTTTGTCTTGAAATGCTGCTCTGTGAAAAGGGTTTGAAGAACCAATATTTGACCTGTTGAAGAAACAACCTTATTTTAAAGAAATAAAACTGAATCATGATCATATTGAGAAGGTAACGACTAGTATCTCCAAACATTCCTATCTGTTTATCAAATGTTATTATGGTGGTAGTGGCTCTGGCTCTCCCAAAAGAACTACAATAATTCTTCACTTTCCTCAGGACCTCACTTTAACAGATTTGAACTATTGCTTTAGGTTACAAAATATCTCAAGTGCCTTGTCTTCTAGTGAGTTCATTAAGAAGTTATCATTTTTACAAACACAAATCTCATTCAAATATAAGTTTTTACCCAGTGTTGTGTGCTGTGGAAATACCACTACTGGACTTCATCACAACACAGGTGTAATCCGTCTTTATCCGTCTTCTCTAGTGTTTGTTTCTCGGTCACTTCTTCTGATTGGTTGGAATGACTTCGACCCTCCATCAGCCCCCTTTTTCAATCTTCAAACAAAGATGCAGCTTGTAGGCACAAGCCTTAAATGGCAGTGCAGAGATCAGCCCACAAGACCAGATGGCTCATGTTAGTGTTTGTGGGCAGGAGATGCTGTTCAAATCTGTGAATTTTCTATTAACAGAAACCCCAGACACTCATTTATTCAAGGCTGAGACCATTAAACTGTAGGTTAAACAACAGGGAATCACAAAATGTGTACAAGAAAATTACAGTAATGCAGGAGTCGAGAGAAACGGTGCATAAACGGCAGGTACGGATTCCTTCCTTGTAACCATAATGTTTTATGAGGTTGTTAATGACAACAATTAAAACTTTAACATGGCTTTTAGTGGTATCCTACCATCATTTGGGTCTTTTGACTTCCTTTCAAGGCCATTTTTCTCTCATTTATGGGTGAAGTTTATTTTAACAGGAGGAATTCAGACACTTTGATTAGGTGCTAAAACAAGAAGCACAAGAAGACTGGTCAAAACAGTCGACTAAATCACCTTACTGGGGAAAGTAGTTTAGTAAAAGTTAAGATTTCAAATGGATAAACATGGTCCGCATGCACACAAAGAGACACAAACAATAACATGAAGATCTGCTGTAGAAACTGGAATGAAAATAAGACAAAATGCTGGTGAAGATTCTCAGTCATCCAAGTCATGGTCATTCCATTCTAATTCACACCTTCATGCACATGACGTGACCACAACATCTGTCTCGTGAGCCTAATGAGCCTCCGTAGTACGAGGCGAGTTGTTCCAGTCTAATCTGCATGTGAAAACAAGTACACAACCAGGCCTCTCATGCAGTTTTAGAAAGCTTGGAACTTCACACTCCAGCCTTTGAATTGATAAAGCCATGGGAAGCAAAACTTCTTCAGCTTCAGAATAGATGTTTTGTTTTCCATCCATCCATCCATCCATCCATCCATCCATCCATCCATCCATCCATCCATCCATCCATCCATCCATCCATCCATCCATCCATCCATCCATCCATCCATCCATCCATCCATCCATCCATCCATCCATCCATCCATCCATCCATCCATCCATCCATCCATCCATCCATCCATCCATCCATCCATCCATCCAT